TATCTGTCGCTATCTTCAAAGCACCAGAATCTCAAATGTTCTCTTCTCCCTCTTGTTAAGTCTAGGGCTATTTTACAATCTGTTTCAGATGTATGGCTGCAATCAGAACATTTAATGGAAAAATAAACTCATGTTGTTTGGTATTTTTCTAATTTTGTAGTTTCAGAAACGTGGAAGGAAGAGAGGGAAATTAAGACAGAGAGAGAGATGGTGAGCAACTGTATCCGCAGCTGCCCTGTGGTAGTATCAACAAAAGCAAGAAAATCATATGATTAAGAAGGTTATTTATGCTGCGCTTCATAATCTATTCTAATGGCATTTATTATAGCGATGCACTTTGGTAGTTCAACCACGTGGACGTTATTTTCCAACAGTGATGATAGTAGAAGTAATTTACCAGAATTAACTCTGTACCTGTTGCTATTTAAATACAAGTATTTTTCTACATTATTCTACAGCTATTCTAAAATTGGAAATAAAAATACAACTTAAGAGCAGATCTGTAAAACCAATGCAGGTGTTGTTAGATTTAACAGAGGATATCAGATTATGTGCTTGATAGCATTTAGGACCTTTTGTAAGTTTATTATATAATGCTCATTATAGGCTTAGGCCTTTGGGCCAGAAGGTTGTGGGTTCAAGCCCATCATGGAACCTATTCCAACTACTCCCACTAATGTCTGCTGCTGTTGTGTCCTTGGGCAAGACACTTAACCTCACATTGCCTAAAGCTCAAAGGTTGTGGCACCACCGATGGAGCAGCCATCTTCCTGTGGACTCACCCCCTGCAGAGGATCAGCGAGGGACTGGTGCTATGAGCGTTGGGTGGTAGTTCTCATTTTTTATATGATATGTATTTATTTTTAGAGAATCATTATAACTAAATTATCATTTTTTTCAGGTGGTCTGTTTTATAATAATATATTCGATAATATTGTCTATCTTCCATTTTTGTTGCTGTAGACGGAAAAAGGGTGTAGAAAACCTGTAACACGAACTAAAGAACAGTGTACACAGCGTAACGTAAATGTAAAACAGGATCTGACACGTCCTGCTAAAGAAAACATGAATATGACTCATTCACGAACCGTTCTTAGGAACAAATGTGTGCGTATATCCTACTTACGAGGATTTTACCAGAATTTCTCTTGGGTAAGAACAAATCCTACGAGTGCTCAGGAGCACTGCTAAACACATTCAGTGCCGACACTTTCACACGCAGGTGTTATGAAGTTCAATAAAACACATTACAGTGATATGTCTGTCTTATTGATGTATGTATTTATTTATTTCATTGTTTATGGTAATTTAGCCTATTTTTTAATTCATTTTTAAATGAAATGTGCCAACGCTTTCTCAAATACATTGAAAATCATGCTGTGTATAAGTGACCCCATCCTATTTATAGGGGGCATTTCTTTATCCACGGGCATATGGCATGCAGGACGGCTCATAAAGAAGGAAGAATGTTAATCACATGTGTCTGAACACTTCAGTGATAAATGTAAACAATACTGTCCGTTTGTATTATAATATCTCACTTTATCATAATTCCTTCAACCCTTTGTTTTCCTCAATGCAAGAACAATCTGTCACAGCAAACCCACAGACGTGCAATCCACAAAACTTTGATGGTGAACAAATTTTACCACATTGTATATCAGAATGCTGTTTAGAATAGTAGGTGGTAGTGGCATTCTCAAAATAAGCTCAATTTCTGCAGAAGATTTTCTGAAAATAATGGGGTGAGTAGATGGGCAAGGGAGTGTGCAGCCAAGGTCAGCATAACAGTGTGGTTTGTCTGTGGATAATTAAACCCTCAGAGATCTGTGCTTCTATCAGATCTGCATAGTCTCCACACATTCACTCTGTAACAATGGCTCTTCACACAATTCACAACAATATTACTTGGCACATGTTGCCCTTTGCCAAATGTGTTGTAGACATGCTGAAGGACAGATACCATTAGAGACAAAGAAACATATTCAGCCTGATGTGAGAGCTTTGTGTGGAACAAACTGTAATCATTTACAGTGTGTGCAATTTACCTCTCAGCATTGTGGTTCAGAATATAGTTCTGTTCAAGACATGCTCTAGGTGCCCGAACTTCAACCATCGTCTACAGAAACTTTATAAATCATTAGCGGCAGTCATTCCACCAGTTGTCCCACACTCACAACCACAAACACACACGGGGAGACGGGGAGAATCAGAGAAAACCTATGCAAGCACAGGAGAACACAAAAATGTCACTTTGTGTTTGTGTACATGCAACAAACGAACATTCACATCAGCAGAGAGATAAAAAGAAAAAATGCATGCAACCAAAACAAATGTATTGAGAGTGCCAGCTGTTCAAGTGGCCATACAACCTCAAGCCACTCCACGCTCAAGCACAATCAAATCATGACTACATATGTGTTCTGCACTACAAGGACAGTGATATTGGGCCTCATTTATGAAACTTGCGTACGGCCAAATCAGGGTGTAAATGAGGCGTACGCAAATAATTTACACTTTTCGGCATTTATCAATCTGGACTTGAGCGAAAGGTACGCTCAAAATGTACGCCGATTCAGTAGGTGGTGACAATGTTACACCCATTTCAACCTTCATCACAACACGCCACAACACGCACAAAATTAAAGATTTGGACAAAAACAAATATATTCCCACTCTGCAAAAATTATAAGCTGCTTTTTCATTGAGCATCAAATTTCTGAATTTGAATTTGCGCATCAGAAAAACTGACGGAAACGCACAAACTTTGAATAAATCACAGATCATGATGAGGACCCTCTTCTGTTTCTTTGTTTTTAAATCTGACTTGTGTGTGTATTATTTTCATCTGTATGTTTTTTTTCAAATGTGAAGTGCTTTGTGCTCCTGGTCTGTGAAGGCGCTATACAAATACCATCTATTTCTCCATAAATCTGTGGCAGACCCTGCGCTGCGTAATTACACATGGCTATTGGTTTTGTCTCATTCACCTCTGGCAAAGCCACGTATTTTTTCATTCGTTTTGTGCATAAAGCCCCATAAACGCAGCAATGGCAGAGATATGGCAAAGCTCTTATTTGTGGGAACGGGCTCATGGGCAGTGTGCAGCAGGTGCCACAGAGGTCCCGCCGCACTAGCCATCTGTGGTGCCCGTCATTCAGACGTTTGAGTTTCTCTGTGATATCATCCTTTCTCTCTCACACAGATCGCTCCAGTGCATTCACAAGAAGATGTCGCTTGACCCAGTTAATGATGAGAGTCACAGCAGAGATATTAATATTCATTCATTCATTCATTTCTAAACTTCAAGAGAGATGATTGATGATGATTTTTTACAAAATAATACAATAAAACTCAATATAAACTCAGTGTGTGTCACTGAGAGGCCTTTTGAGGATTCCAACTAGTCTTGCTGGCCAACTTCCATGCTGACCTGTCGTAAAAAACAGGGCGTGAAACGAGCGGTTTCTGAATATTTCTAGGCATTTCTAGTGCATTTCATGAATACACTTATTTTGAGCGCGGCATTTATCAACAGCCACGGCTGCGGACGCTCAGATCTGTGCGGATGTCACACGTTCATAAATCCTGGGCCAATTCATGGGCCAATGGCTCCAACTGGCTTCCCAAGCGTTACCAAAAGCTACACATGCAGAGTGAGCAGCATCAGCTGCTAGAGAAGGTCCTAAAGCCCTGCAGAGCACAAAATAACTTTTGGGGCTCAACAGAGGCATACAGCTACATTGGATGGACTTTGCTATGTGCACGTTGTGCAGAACCACTTTTTTCACACAATAATACATAACAAGGATAACACACATGTCCACAATACTGTGTACACAATATAATGTGCGCCTCCGTCCGTGAAAGCCAAAGGCTGTAAATGCCAAACTGTTATTGTGTCTTTGGGCAAGTGTAGTAGAAAAAACTAAATAAAACCAACATATTATAATTACTCATTATAATCACAGCAGAAAAAGATTCACAAGTCCAAACTGGGAGCTGCATGAAGTATCTGAGATGAAATCTCAATCCCGGGGCCTAAATCTTGTAGAGAAGTCAAAGATACAAGATTACATATACATTGATTTAAGGGTTGGTTTTCTCCAGACTGTCTGGCTTTCTCCATTTAACCAAGTTGCACTCATGGATGGGTAAATTTACACTCAACAATGAGGACTTGTAAGTTGCATTTAAAATATGATTTACATTCCTTAATTGAGCCATAAAAGTTATTTCCTATGTTGACATATTTCCAAACTACAATATTATGACTATTACTCCAAACATTACATTGAAGCAAGCTCAAAGCTAGCACAGAAATCAATGCTGCTGTCGGCTTCAATCAGTGCTCGCTCTTATGGGGCCGAACATGTCAGGTTAGCAGAGGATCAGGAACATGCAGACTCGTGGAGTTTGTCTTTGTGAGATTGCCTTCTGATTTTCCCCTAACACGATGGATTAGTTTTGTACGCCTGCTCCGTTATCTATTCTCAAAGCGCCTTCTAATTTTAGCATGCTGTGTCCCCCTTAACTTTAAACTTGCAATACTGCGGCCTGTTTTAATAAGATACCATTTAATTTATTCTAGTTTTGAGTTTGTGTTATGAAGCCCAGAAAGTCAAATTCATGCAGTTTTTTGTCACTTATCTTTAATAAGTGAATCTTTCCATTTCAAAGTCTAATGAATACATTTTAAGCTATGTGGTTTCAGTCACATGTTTGCAACTATTCTTGTTTTTTACTTTTGAAAGGGACAGAGTGTATTATGATAGAAGCACTGTTTTTTTACACAATCACAAACGCTAAACGGTGCGCCACCATGAGGCCCATTGTTTGAATTCAAGTCAGAGGATCCATACTATATAATGATTCATCAAACGTGATAACTTTCCCTGCATTTTTCAACAATGCTTTAAAAACCACTATTGACCCGAACATATGGGAAGAGTTAAGATAGTCCCCACGTGCAGAGCAGCTGCAGCACATGATCCACTGACCTTTATGACCTGTTCATCTGTGGATCTGCACTCCACTGCTTCGGTAACATCAGACACGGCTCCATCTGTTCCCACGGTGACCACCTTTACCGGCACGGCTACTGTCCGCCCAGTGAGAACGGCAGTGTTGAGAATCTCTGTGTCCTGAAGAGAAGACATACATACATAGCATCAGTTTCTTTTGCCCAGGGGAATGTTCTCATGTTTTAAACGCAAGGGGATGCACTTGTTTTTTACCTGAAGGTGTTTTATTACAACTGTCAACAGACAACCTTTAATAAATTAGTATATCTATTATCTGCATGTGTTTATGGATGTGCTTAAGCTAGCTGCTGATATAAATAAAAAAAATACAGGACTTGTGCCAGGGACCAACACGCTGGCCTCCTCATACTTATGAGATCTTCAATTACCGCAGCCCAAGTGCTACTGGCCCACTTAAAGCACTGCATGGTATTGTCATCATAAAGGACTGTAAGATGAAAAGCTAAAATCATGCTGTCAATATCTTTTGCCTCTAAAAATCCTTATTTGAAAACATTTTATCTTTTGAGTGCTTCTTCTGGCTTTAAAAGCTAAGTGTATGGAGGACCAACTAGGTGTTCATTTTTTTTTATAAAGGAAAGACTGACGACAGAGACCAAAGATACATGTGGAAACTAGTGAGAGCAACAATATTAGAGGTACGTTCTGTGTTTGTGGTTTGAACGTTACTTTGGCTATGCTAGTCTTACTCAGTTTCCTGTAGTGTACTCTGCCCCAAAATAGTTCTTCTTACATCCTATGTTCTTCTTACTTTTTCACATGCTACAGAAGAGACTGTCTCTCTTCTTCAGCTGTCTCTGTGGCATTACCCCACTTGAGGACTGTGTGTCTTGTAGATAAAACGAGATCAATTAAGACAACATCTGTTAATCCATTCTATGGGTTACTTTCACTGCGGCTTTGCCATAACACAGACGAATGTTCAACACAGCTTAGCTTCAATAAAAGATTAGTAAGAAAGAAAGCTTGGTTTGAAAGTGGTCTCCAGGCACTCTCTATTCATCAAAACTTGTCTCTGCGTTTTCTCATACTGGTCTTCTTTGGGAGGGAAAGATAATAAAGTCAACTGGAGATACAGTCAATGAATCACCACACCACATTTTTATATCAAGACAGTGATCCTCTAATGCTATGCTAAACACTCTAATGCTGTGCAAATATATATATATATACAGAATACAGAACCATGTATCATTTTGCTTTCACTTTACTTTTGTCTGTTGTGTGTGGACATTCAGTAAAAAATTAAATATTTTTGTATAGAAATGTAAACCTGAAAATACTGTGTGTACAAAAGGTGTATTTATATATATACAGTATATGCTAAGTAGGTGAGAGTTTAAGTGGTGCAGGTCTGCGGTTTCATGAAATAACACCACAGAAGTATAAAGGCAGGAGTTATAAGTAAGAAAAACAACAATAAACATTGTGAGAACAGTTTCACCTTTTTAATGAGGCAGAAAAAGTTGCCTATAAAAAGTTGAATGTCATATCAAGTATAGTAATATATATATTTATTATACGGCTCCTCACAGCTGCAGAAGAACGCTCCATTGATTTGAATGTAATTTCAAAACGCTCTACCTGTCATTATTTTTTATAACGGACCTCTCAAAACAATAATGACCGCTGCCCATGGCAACGCACTCTCTGCTTGTCTTTCTGCTTGTCTTGTCTTTGCTTGTCTTGTCTTAGGCATTCCTAAAAGTGGACTGAAGTTTATGTTGTGTGTTCTGTTGGTATACAGCCGTATAATAAGCGGGATAACGTATATTACGCAGGTCATTATCGGAAAATAAGTACCAACAGGGCGAAGCGGACCCCGACGGTAATGACCTGCGTAATATACGTTATCCCTTACATACAGTGACTCTCAAAATGAACTTTTGCAATTTTTTCCAGGTTTACATTCCTAAACATAAATATTTCATTTTTTTACTGAATGTTCACACACAACTAACAGACAAAAGTAAAGTGAAAGCAAAATGATACATCCATCCATCCATCCATCCATTTTCTACCCTTTAATCCATTTCTGGGTCAGGGGGGTGGCAGTCAGAGATGCCACCCAAGTCTCATAGCACCAGCCCCTCACTGACCCTCTGCAGGTGGTGAGTCCACAGGAGGACGGCTGCTCTCTGAGTGTGAGCATAGCCTTGATCTTTCAGTGGGGGCTTTGGGCAAAGTGGGGTTAAGTGTCTTGCCCAAGGACACAACGACAGCAGTCATCAGTGGGAGTCGGTGGAGAAGGTGCAGAGGTGGGAATTGAACCCACGACCTAAAAAAAATTATCAAACTTACAGTATACTTTGTAGAATCCTCTTTTGCTGCAATAACAGCAGAAAGTTTTTGGGGGGTGGCGAACATAAGCCTTTTGCTTTAGCCCACTTTTGTGCAAATAAATACTGTTGAAATAAATAAACAAACAATCTATTGGGGCATGAATCTATAATATTCACACATCTAAAGACAGAAAGTTTAGCCCATTCCTCTTTCTAATACAACTTGAGCTTGGTCATATTAGATGGAGAGCGTTTGTAAAGAGCAGATTAGGTCTTTCCACAGATCCATGGATTTAGGTCTGGACTTTGACTGGGCAATTCCCACAAATGAACATGTTTTTTTTCCCCCTAAACCATTGCATTGTAGATATGGCTGTGTTTAGGGTCATTGTTCTGCTGGAAGGTGAATCTTTTCCCCAACCTCAATTCTCTTGCTGAGCTTAGCAGGTTTCCCTCCAAAATGTCTGTGTCCTGCAATCCTCCAAGTCCCCACTGAAGAAAAGCAGCCTCTTACCATGATGCTACCTCCACCATATTTGTCACTGGGGATGTTGGACTCGGGACGATGAACAGTTTGTGTCGTACATGTTTTGCATTTGGGCCAAAAACCAAAGCACCTTCTTCCACATGGTAGCTGGGTCCCCCACATGACTTCTGGCAAACTTCAAACGAGATTTCTTATGGCCTATTTTTAATGATGCCACTCGCCCCAATCGGCCCGTATAGATCACTTTCTCAATGTGGACCTTCCAATGTTCTTTTGAATGGTTTGATTCACTGATCTACAGTTGAGGAATTGATAACTTTGATGACTGGTGTCGTGATTTAGGGCTAAAATAAATAAATTGAACTGAATGCTTTAAACTAATCTCTTTCTCTCTAGTGGGTGATTTTCTACAAACTCAACCAAACTCACATTATAAAAAGTAACACATTTGAATAGGCAAATGATCTCCACCAATCAAATATGCCCACAAATGTCTTATTAAATACATAATGCATATTCAAATACATTTTCAAAAAAACGCATTTTATAAAAAAAAATACTTTTCCTGGTTACTTTCATTGTTTAGTGTATATATACACTATATATATATATATAGTACAATATATATATATACAATATATGTATACTGTATATATATATATATATATATATATCTCCATGGATGTATTAAACTGTGTAGATATTGCTAGCTTAAACTTGTCATCAACATGAACAAGGGCCCACCTGCCTGTTTAAATGTATACGGGCTGTAACTGAAATGGTTTGTCCTCAGCTGACATTTGGCCTGATTTTTTTGCTTTTGAAATCCATCAGTTTCCTATAAATTCACACTTTATTGTAACATCCAGGGCTTGGTGAGACATCGAAGGATCAAAAAACAGCATCGCTCTGAACACCTGGTCGCCACATCTCAGTTATTTTAGTGTTAACTTTTCTGACACCTCTTGTTTGAAGCCCAAAAAGTCAGACGGATGGTGAGGCTAGTACATCTACAAGGACAGGTCTAGAAGTGCAGAAAACCACACACACATTCTCACACAGACACACACGTGCATACAGTGTCCCACACAAAAAAACAATGACGCACTCCTTGCGCTTCATCTTATCAAAACAGGCTCTCATCTGCGAGCGGAGAGAAGCCAGGAGAGAAGGAACAATCGATAAAAGACCATTACGCTCTTGTGCGAAGGTGGATGATACACTCGACCATGTGCGTGAGTGATGTGGAGCAGACAAAGAGAGCCAGAGCTAGGACTGCAGCTGACGGAGAATGGACCCGTGGACATTTAAGGACTCAGGGACAATGGTGACTGCTGAAATGGCGGGAAAGTGACTAGAAGACTGCGTGAACCTAACTTGAGGGGATGACGTTTATGTTTGTGTGAAATGCCACTGCCTTGTTTAGCTTCATGCTTGTAAGGAAATGACTACGTTGGGTTTAAAACATGATGGATTATGACTGACATTAGAATTCTGAGTTATATTATTAAGTTTAATCTTAATTAATAGCATAATCTTTAAAGTGAATGCAAAAGTGAATGTCAAAGGTTAGTCTGTAATGTTTGCATTGTTAATGGATGTCCATATGTCACTAGCGTGTGATAAGACTGGAAACCTTTTTAGGCTAAAATGTCTGTGTCAACAAACTCAAAAAAAAATCTAACCTTGGTCTGTTTTGGTTTTGTCCACGTGAACTGTTGTTTGAACCAAGATTTAACAATTACAAACATATTTTATTTAATGTAATTATGTTTCTTTTTATCATTTCAACAACATTCTTTCAAAAAAATCGAAATACTTGAGTTATTGCAACAAATGTTCAACTCATATAAATACAGTGAGAATGAGAAGTACCAGAACATCCTTGTGTGACCGTGTAACTGGATCTGGGCAGTGTTATTTGGCAATGCTCACACAGTGATTGGTTTTTAATCATTTCTGGACAGTTGTGCTGCTCCAGGGTAAGTGAGATGAGTTGCCAATTTTTACCCAAATGCATTCAGCTCTTTCTTTTGCGTGTTTTGGGAAAAATAAACAAATAATTTGTATAATAATCCACATCCAGGTCATACAATGCAAAAAGTTAAATATGGTATTTATTTTGTGGACAAAAAGTCTGAATAGATTTTGGGGACGTGCATTTGGGCTGATCAAGAAATTCATCATTTTCAAATGATCATCAAATAAGCTAATAAGGTAAGATAAGCTAATTGGTACTTTGTGGTATATTAGGTTTTTATTTAAAGGGCCCATATTGCCCTTTTCCTAATTTTTCACACTCAGCTGCACTGGAGCAAGACCAGTGTTCC